TGAGCCACTGCTTTGTGGAAACAACTCCCAAGAGGATGCTTCTCTGCTCATTACAATCTTAACCTGTTCAAGACTCGGGTTGAATGTTGTCTTCCCCACATATTCCAGAAATTTGTGACTCTTACTCTATAACCTGCTACTACAAGTGGGTCTCAGGATGAACATCATTGTAAAAACAAAACAAAAAAATTATTTGTGGGTTATTTAAAACTGAAACATTTTGGATTGCAAGATTAATTCTTTTTTTCAGTGGGGGCAGTGAATATTTTATTAACAATATTTCTGGAGATAACAATAATTTTTCCAGATACAAATCCTACTATTTAACCCTTTGATGAGGGGCAAAAATGGTTATTCCTTAACAAAATTATTTGGTTATTTTCAGGTAACCTATAAATAGTTTTTTTGCGTGGAAGAGGGGCAAATTTAAAAATAAAAACCATTTTCTCCTTCACATAACATTTTTCAGTAAAACAAGTTTTTACTTTTCACTATAAGTTCATAAAAGACATATGGATGTTTTCTTTGAATTATTGCATATGTTTGAATTCATTACCTTCTAATATTAAATCCATGTTTAAAATAACAGCTATTTTTATCAGTAAAGTAGAATGTAACTGGGACAGAACACAGTGATGATTCATATTCTTTGGAAGCAGAATGTTCAGCAGTTGGACACATCTAGTATTACATTTTCTTATACAATATCTGTCAGATAAATTAGTGGTGATTTATTGAAACATAGTGATACTAATTGATGTTTTTGTTTTGTCTGAGTTTCTAGAATGACTTATCCTTATTTACATCCAGACTATTGTCCTCATCTTTGTTGTTATTATCACACCGTTTTAACCATTGTGCCCTCTGACCTTCATAAGGTACTTGTCACTCGAGGTAACCTTCAGGGAATTTTAAACTGAAATCTTTTATTTAATCTACAGGGGTAGATTGTCCATGTTTAGAGAAGGCTACTTGGATTGACAAGCACCTGATGAAGGCCAAAGGCAATGGATAAAATTTTGTAATAGCAGCAACAAAGGTGAGGACAATAGTCTGAATGTAAATAATGTGAATAATTTTTTTCTCTACAAATAAATTAGAATGTTGTTATGCAATGATAATATGGCATCAAGAGGTTGTGTAAACAATCCAGATCTTTTTGCTATATTTGTGGAAAATTTGCAATGAAACAGAGACAAAATATAAAAGATTTTATTTTTTAAAAAAATCATTATGCCTACTTTGGAATAAATCTTGGGTATCAGAACAAAGTGGTTCCCCTTGCAGTGTGTCAGGTTACCTCCTAACTTTCCAAACCATTACTAGGAGACACTTTCCAGTACTATAAATACTCTGTAATAATTATTAGTAGCCTCTTCTTATTTTTTATGCCAACATGTAAGTTTCTCGTGGAAGAACGCATTCCCTTTCAGGGATACGCATGAACACACACATATATAGACACATTTCACTCCATTTCTTTCTCCTACACCAAATTACACATACACAAACAATTAACTAGCTTAAATGTTTTACTGATTCATTTTCATTGTTCAGTAACACACAAAAATATTCTATTATTTTATATGTAACCCTTTATCGTTAATACTTTATCATTTGTTTGTACACGTATATATATATATATATATATATATATATATATATATTGGTCCTTGTTTCTTTAGATTTCTTTATGTGGACTTATACAAAAAGTCTACCATGTTGGCTGTGGGCCTTTCAAGAGACACATGTGTTTATCTCTCAATGCATACACCAGCCTGCAATACAATGTCTACTCTATATATATTGAGGAACTAACGAACAAAAGGTAAAAAGAAAACTCTTGTTTCTGGAATCAAAATGATATGGAAGGAACTAAAGATTCATAATGAAGATTGTTATTTTTGTTTGTGCAAAATCCAAAGATACAACAAAAAAAAATCAGAAAGAAATTTCTTATCTTAATCTTCTATCAGCAAAAAAAATAAAAGTAATATAATTTGGATCTGATCTATCAATTTCTAATCAACCTATGAATTTCAATTGTGCATAAATTCACACAAAGGAAGAAATAAAGATAAAGAATTTGTCCCAACAAAATGTCCAGACAATGATCCACAACTATTCTTTCAGGATGAACTTCAAGATTTAATGAGAGATTTTGGTCTCCTCAAAGATGCTGCAGATCTCTTAGGAATCCAGATTAAAAGAAAAAAATTATATTCAGGAGAAAAATTCTCTTGGTAGGGTAATAGAGAAAAAGATTTTGCACTATATTCCAACAAAGATGGATCCTTGTTTGTTTGTTTTTTTACTGCTATAAGTGGTCTTAGTACAGAAATTTGGCACAAATTACAATTCAGAAGAATGAAGATTATTTATAGATTCATCTAAAAGAAGTCTGAAAGGAATAATTCTTCATAATGGTAATAAATATGCATCAATCTCTGTTGCTTATTCTGTTCATTTAAAAGAAATGGCAAAATTTGGCAAATGTTCTTGGGAAAATCAACTACACTAAAAAATGTTGCTTTGTATGTGGAGACCTAAAAATTTAGTGTTTTTTACTGGGTCATCTATCAGAATATACAAAATTCCTATGTTTTCTCTGTCAGAAATATTGGAGTGGCAAGTGAAGAACAGGACAAAAGATTTAATTAAAAACTGCTTTCATTTAATCCCCATAGAGAACCTTTTCTACCTGTCATCAGGATGGCTGATGCTAACCTTCAGAAAAGCAACTCTTTGCATCTTCTTGGGCACATGTTTTCCACTAACATGAAGTGGGGTGATTATATTGAATCAATTTCTAGGTCTACTGCTAGAAAAGTTGGTTCACTTTGTTGTGCCAGAAAATTTATCTCGTCAGAATACATCTTGCACATTTATAAATCTACCATTTGTCCATGCATATCTGGTCTGGTAAACCTAATATATATCTTGAAATTCTTGACAAAATTCAAAGAAGGGTCTGCAATGTTATCAATTGTGACCTGGCATCTTGAGCAGTCACTTTTCCACCATTGTGACATGGCTTCCCTCTGACTTTTCTCAAAATATTTTCATGGCAATTGTTCTGATGAGCTTTCCTCCAAGGTGCCTTGACTGCATGAATTTAAACGTACTACTAGATTGGCAACATGGTATCACCATTTTGCTGTTAAACTAGCTAAACGCAACCATATGTTCTATTCTGTTTCTTTTCTCACAATTCTTGCCTGTTTCTGATTTCTTGCTTCCTTACCATCTACAATCTTTAAAAATTTAAATGCAATGTCAGTCACCATCTTGTCTTCCTGAATCCTGTTCTTTTATTGTCTTTTCTCCTCACTAAAGTTTTCTTATTCTCTTTCACTCCCAGTAACCCCTTGCTTGGGGTGAAATGATTCAAAGAAAAGAGATACCAAGGAAATAGAGACATTGTAACAGAGATGTTGGGAGATCAATATGATGGCAGTCTACAGCTGGATGAAAGACATGTCAGAAAAATCTATAAACAACTGCCTACCAAATAAAGTTTTGAAAGAAAAAAAACTGTGATGTTTCAAAAATGAAAGAAGTTAGATGCAAATAATGGAATATATACAGTTGCTTGCTTTATGTATACATTTTAAAAATTACACTGGAAAAATATTTTCATATAAAAGTAATTTAAAACAATATTATATAGATCCACTGAAATTTATTATTTGGGAAATTTTCATTAAATTTCTTTTTAATTTTCTTGTAAAATGTGATGCGACGAAAACATTTGAAATCTATTTTTTATTGTTTCCATAAATGCAGAAATGAATCATTGTTCAGAATTGAAACAATTTTAATGACTTTAATTTTGCAGGCCTGTGTAACCAATTTATTGTTTTGGTTTGACATGTTTAATTGCATCACCTTCTTCAGTTGGTGACACTAAAATTTGCTTGAGTCTCTCTAGGCAATAAAATATGCTAAATTCTAAAATATTTTGCCATTGAAGAATGCTAAAATTGAACATCTAACCTATTGAAATAGAATATTTTTGTGATTGAATATTAAATGTTAACCTCCTTCAGTACCTAGCATATTTTCATGTGCAGACAAAGACTCTCCCTAGGTCAGTACATGCATATATGTATTCACTCAATAAGTCAGTGTGATAATATAGTTATCTACTAAGTATAACCATGTCTATGTTTTAATTACTAATTTTTAATTGACCCGGCATTGCCCATGCTTGATTAAAAAATCATACAACTCATACAGCAATCACTATCACTTGACTTAAAATATTTTTGCCCTTCCTTGCCTTTAAAGGAGTGCCCTTTGCCATGCTGATGTTGCTACATGCCTTACTTCTTGCCTATCTGGCAGAGGTAGCCAACTTTCTGAGCAGCAGACCTTAGTAACTGATTCAATAAAATTTTTCCACTCCAAGTTAGCAAAAAACATTAGCTTGAGAAGGCACAAAAAATTATACACCTGGAGATTAGCATCAGGAAAAAAAAAAACACAATTATGTGGACTCAGTAAGAATTGAAACCATTTGCAAAAGCCAATAAGACTGTCTTAGATAACTATGATTCTATGGTGGATGTCCAAACTGTGATAACATATTTACTTATTGACTCGTCTGAATCTGCCCAGGAAATTCAAAGAATCATAAAGAGAGCTATTGTAATAATTGTGATGAATGATGATCAGTTTTCAATTCATTGACCAAATACAGAAGATTTATGCCAGGTGACAGGCATGGACATTCCTGATATCAACTAAGGAAATATAAGAAACATTCAAAATTTGTAACAGTACATTATACTGTCTTTTTTTTTCTTTCCATCTCTCCTCCACCTCTCACTGTAATTGTAGTTATTTATTCCTCCTCTTATTCTTCATTCACCCCACCCTCCTTTGTTTCATATTTACCACTTTTTAATTCCTCTCTATTTTTCTTAGATTTTTTTTCTTTTTTCCAATCAATAACCTTTCCTTTTTACTCTTTGAGTTCTAAGTTTATGGTCACATAACATTGAAACACCAGTTCTCATACAATCACTGAAGTTAAGCAATGTTGAGCCTAGTCAGTAACTAGATGGATGACTGCTTGGGAATAGCAAGTTTTGTAAGTTTGGATGTGCATATGATGTAATGGATAATGGCTCAGAATTGGAAATCGGAGAGCTGAGTTCAATTTTCAATTGGGTTCATTATATTCACTTATGTGAAAAGTATGAATTCACCTTGTCTCCCCCAGCTATGGGTTAATTAGTAGAACTTGTATCAGTAGATCATTATTATTTTTAAACATTTCTTTCAATCTAAAAATATTTTCAAGCTTTAAATAAACTGCAAAAGTTTGATAAGCCATAAAAACAAATAAAAAATCTATTTCTGACTATACTTTCCTATCAACCTGTCATCATCCCTCAATTCTATCCTTTTGATATGCTTCTCATCCTACAAGTAGACACCTGTTTTTGACAACTTAGAATGCAAGACAATTTTTTTTTTCCCCCCAGAGGGTGGGGAAGTCTTACAATCCTCCATAATTGTTTTTGTAAATAAATTTTGACTCCCAATCATTTTCACTTCCATTTTCAAATATTTGCCGGCAAAAGATTTTGTTTGTAGAACTTGAAGCTTCTTCAAATAAATTGAAATTCTCCTTCCTCATCTTCCTACTTCTCTTCTTTTTTTCTCCTTTGTCTTCTTTTTTTTCTCTTCTTTTCTGTTTATCTTTTACTTCTCTTCATTCTGATCATATCATTGCTTTGATGGAATCTATTTTTTCCTTTTTCTTACTGCTTTCATTTTCTTCATCTCTTCCTCTTTAAATTTCACCTCTTTTTTTCTATTTCTTTGCTTTCCCCCTCCTCTTCCTCCTCATCTTTCTTTTTCTTACTTTCTCTTTTGGATGTAACAGGTAAGCAAGCAGTATAGCTGTGGCAGTTATATAACATGGACAGAATTTAATACTACTTGACTGCAGAATATTTGTAAATGCTAGAAAGACAAAGCTCTCTGTTTTCAATGTAACAACTTGTCATGTCCATAAAGAAATACATAAATAAAAAATTAATTATACTGTCACTGTATTGTGTCAATAAAAAAATAAATAAAAATTATAGTGTCATAAATAATTATAATAAAATAATTATAACAATTATAATTATCATTAATTCACTCTTTCTAAATCAATGAGAATCAACCCAATTTTTCTCCTCTACATGCAAAAACAGGTGACATCACTATCAGACAAACATTGAACATGGACAGACCATCAACATGTGAGTCAATGAAAATTTCAGCTCCTTTTTCAGGCTATACTAGTAAAATTTATCTCTTAGCACTCAACAAAATTTGAGGTAAGAAAACCTCAGACAATTCTAATATTTTTCCAACTAAATTATCTGGACATTCATTACACACATCTATAAAAAATATACATACAAGAAAGACTATATATACTTTGCTTATTTTTTATCTTATCCTTCTGTCAGATTCTGCAATCTATATTTGATCTACATTTGACCCCAGATTCACTCAGTATTACTGTCTCTCATTTCTCCAGCACCACATAACAACCGGATAATAAATAATAAACGTTTTGTTGTTTCCACGTCTTGCTGTTTCTCATTTTTACGAGTATTTTTGTATATATAAATGAAAAGGGGTTTCTAATTATTTACTCAACTCCTCTACAAACTGTTCTAGTAGCAATGATAAATGAAGTGCAAATGAATTCTGGACATACATTAGCAGCAAATGATAACTGCAGGTACCCACAAATGAAGCAAGAATAGGACCACTGCTGACTATCAACAATGTAACCATCTAATAAAGAGGTGATGCACTGTACACTGTATTCCTTGAGAACCTCAAGGCGGTGTAATGGTTAACAAGTTTGTCTTACTAGAACAATTATGACTTAGTAGTGAGTTCAATCCTCACTAGGTGCCCCTACTTTTGGACTTGTGCCACATCTAAGCTACACTTGGAAAATCACTGCACACTGTATTCCTTGGAAAATCATAGCTGTCAATCAACAAGCATTACTATTACTACAGTATTAGAGAACATCACTGTTTAACTATAGAAGACTTGCAATTTTATATAGTCAGTCACATCTAATTTTCAGCTCTTTTGGGCAGACAGCTAAGTTCATATGTGGCAAAGGCAACATGAGGTATAACGTCATGTCATCAATACAGTGTTGTGCAAAATGGTTGTAACCATGTGATTTTGTTGGGTGTGTATTCTGTTGGAGTTTGAAAGGACCACTAGTGAAATTGGAGTCTATTTCAATAGGTGTGACATACACAGATTTTGTTGCAAAACATTTGCAAACCTCTACCTTTACTAAAGCCAGATCAGGCAGAAGATGGTGTGTACTGCTGCCGTATCTTGGCTGGAACTGCTCACTCTTCACTTTCCAGTCTTGATAGAGTTCAAAAGCGTCTAGGCAGCCTTGTGAGTGATGAATTATTTTTCACCCTACAAACCTTTTCTCCCAGATGGAACATTGTAAACCTTTTAGTACTCTGTTGCTATTTCCATGGAAAATGTCCAAATGGATTGAGTCATTCACTTTCTACAGTTTATTAATCCTTTGCAGGTTATTTAAAACCAGAAAATATTTTTAGATTGCAAGAATCTTTTGTTTTTTGGTTTAGTCATACAAGTTTTACTATTTAACCCATACCTGAGGGAGAAGAGGTGGATTCATATTAGAATTTGTTAAAGTATTTATTAGTATTTGCATATAAGTGAATATAACTAACCTATTTTGATTGGAACTCAGCTTTCCAATTAACAATTCCAAGCCATTATCCATTATACTACCTACACATCCAATCTTACAGCACCTGGTATTCCAAAGTGGTCACCCATCTAGGTACTGGCCAGGCTTACTGTTGCTTAACTTCAGTAATTCTAAGGAGCTGATATTTCAATGTGATGTGGTCATAAGCTGGAAAATGTTCAGACATTCCTTTTTTTAACCTTCATAACTAAGACCCACCCTGCCACGCCCATTGCAGTGAACCACCCTCATTCCCTTCATATTCCACAGGTGAGATATAAGTCCCACAGATTCTTTACTCGAATGGCTACTTGGTGGAACCGACTCACATGAGGATACTTTCCCATCACTACAATCTTAAACTGTTCAAGTCTTGTGTTAACTATTATCTTTCTCACATATCCTCATAAACTGCACTTCTTACTCTTACCACTCACACAACACTAATCCTCTACCTTGAGTGGCTCTTGGGACTTGTATAGGCTTAAGATTAGTAAAAATAAAAAAAAATACAATTTCCATTATTCAGACTATTGTCCTCATCTTTGTTGCCATATTTATTATGTTCTGGTCGTTGTACACTCCAGCCTTCTTCAGGTGGTTGGAATGTCGAACTTAACCATTTATTTCACTCACTGGGGTAGACTGTTCTAGTTCAACATGCCATGTTTAATAGATGTCAGTTATCAGTTATCTTCTGTTAATTTTCCTCTGAAAGTTCTCCACTGCCTTAACCGGGTATTGAACTCACACTCTTTGTCACTGGATCTAACCAACACCTTTATCCACTGTGCCATGTGTCCTTGAGGACATCTGTGTATGAATTTCTGGGTATTATAAACCTAATGTCTTCAGCAACCATTTTTACCAGTGCTTATATTGCAATTTTTTGCTGTTATCATTACATGTTTTTACCAGAACTCGTATCATATTTGCAACTTATGTTGTTATTATCGCTTTTCTCTGGTACTCCTTATTACTGGTTCCCATATTGTATTCATTTCTATGCTTGGTCGGCCCAGGAGATTTTTGTGGCCTAGCATAGGTGCTGATTCCTTAAGTTTACGAATTTTCCAATGGTGTTCCTTGTCTATGAAGAAGCGTACAACGGCTGAAACATTGTAATAAATATGGCGACCAAAATGAGGACAATAGTTCGAATAATGTAAATAATGTACATAATACCTCATCTCAGAAATATAGACAGAAATACAATTTCCCTTGATAGTTATGGTCTGTTCCAAAATGATACACCCATCCTTATTGTACATGGGTTTGTTTTTTGCAATCTCTCCTAATCCCTGTTCTGCCAACCATTTAACCATCTAGCGATGTCTGGTTGCCTCTAGCTAGGATTGAAACCCGACTGAATTGGCATCATTCAGGGATTCTACCACTAAGCCGTTGGTGCATGGCAGGAATGAAGGTGAATTTAAGCATATCTATTTTTAGATAAACACATGCTAGTGGTGGACTAATTAGACAGCATATTAATTTTAACTTACAATAGTGTCCAATGTATTTATGAGGATTGGGACAGACCCATTAGTGTTCATAGGTACATCGGTATATAATAGATTTCTTGCTTCCCTGCTACCTACAATCTTCAAAAATTTAAATGCAATGTCAATCGTTTTCTGTCTTCCAAGATTTTATTATTTTATTGTCCTTTCTTCTTATTAATGTATTCTCATTCCCTTCTACTCTCAGTAATCCCTTGCATCTTCATGGCATTATCGATTTGCTTTGCTTGGGGTAAAATGATTAAAAAATACAACTCAATTGCAATATCACAACTAAAATCCTGGAAAAATGCTTGTTCCACTAGGTTTAGGGTGGAGAGATAAATTATATGAGACTGGCCACCGAAAAGTTGAATCAACACAAAGATGACACAAGATGTGGCAAACTTAACAATAACAAGTGTTATATTCAAACTCCCAGCATTCCCTAGTGGGACCGGAAGTGCTTACAATCATCATAATCAACATTATTGATGTTGTTATAAACATGGCTGATAGATTAGACAAAAGTGCTCATAATAAACAATCATTTGGATAAGTTCTATACACACTAAGTCTAAAAAAATTCTTACATACAAGAAAAGAACTTATCAGAAATACCTTGTCAGTCATATTGATTTTTTTGGTTGTGATGTGTGCACTTTTTTCCTAAATATTCCATGCCAAAATCTGGGTGCATTCCAATGCATGGGTGCATCTAATAGGCTGGCAATACAGTATATGTTTCTTTAAGTGATATATTCACAAACACGAGAGGATTGATACAGTAGTTGAAGATGAATAATATTTGGCTCTTCCAA